GGCCTGCGTATTGTCATACTTCCTTTTGTTATGGTTCGTCACATAAGTAGTATAGTAGGTATTTTTATTTTCAATGAATTTTATTAATTTATAATTTTTTTTAAAGAATAGTTAATTATATTGTTTAAAAACATTAAGTTATGAATTGATTTTATTTTGTTAAATAATATATATCAATTATTTTATTAATTAATTCCTTTTGTTATGGTTCGTCACATAAGTAGTATAGTAGGTATTTTTATTTTCAATGAATTTTATTAATTTATAATTTTTTTTAAGAATAGTTAATTATATTGTTTAAAAACATTAAGTTATGAATTGATTTTATTTTGTTAAATAATATATATCAATTATTTTATTAATTAATAACTATAGTTATCAATTGATTATAACAATCAAAAAAAATATTTTGTATGATAATAACCATACCCGATTATATATTATTAAAGTGTTTCTTAATTAGGGATGATAATCAAATACCTAATGTATCTAAAACTATGAACTCTTTGTTGGAGTAAAGGTTCACATGCTGAGTGGAGTTAAGAAATGTGTAAAGATCCCATAATGAATAAGAAACAAGGTGTTAGAGTGCCATATATATTTTTGGAGGCTTATAAAGTTGATAAGTATGGTTTTTAATTTAAAATGACGTCTCCTCTTATATATTTATGCTTTCTAATATATGTGGTCTCGAGCCAGTTTGACTAACTCCCAACAATCTTTTTGGTGATATATGAATTAAAGAACTTTTAAAGGTTAATGCAACAAGAGAAGGGCTCTAGACATTCTTTTTTACACTCTCATATATGAGTTCTTTTGTTTTATGGATATTGCAGTATTAATTTCCAAGCTGCAACATTGCAATTCCAACAGCAAAATAAAAATTGTTAGATGAGGGAATAATTCCTATTATTAGAAATTTGTATTCCATTTAATAATAAGTATTATACACTTCAATACAATTTAAACTACACAATATTTTTTTAATATATCATATAATTTTTGTGTGATTTGTAATACGTGATGAAATAAAAAGTTGATTAAGTCATTCAAAATTCAAGAATGATGACTAGTTATCACAATAATTAAAGTTGTGTGCCATATGATCAGGACTCAATCTCAGATAAAATGTTTGCACAATTAGAAAATAGTTGAAAGATATCCAAACAAATATTTATCTTTTCATGTGGCAAATAAAATTCAAATTTTTTAGAAAAATATGAACCTTCGGCCCACTTAGTCCCATTCACATAATGCACTCCTGCTCCCACTCAACTATCATCCACCCTTTTTTTATCCCCTTTTTTTGCCTTTATCCTTTGCCCCTTTTTCTTTGGACCTTTCCGTTTTAAATTTAAGGATAAGCTAGCTACCGAGAATTCCTCCAACTCTTGCAGTAAATCCATAGAGAGTGTGACCCCAGGTTTTCCAATGAAATCCTCTTCATGAATAACAGAGTACAAAACCCCAGAATTTGAATGTTCTTCGCATTCTCAGAGATATTTTGGTGATTTTTTGGAACAGGAACTTTGAGCTACTGCTTGCTTGTTTGGTGCACTGAGCATTTTTGGAACATTTTAGATTTATTCAGTTCATTTGATGTTCATTAAGTTGATTTAGAATGTTCAATGATGTAGTTCATTTCTTCATTTCTCTCTTTCTTTCTTTTTTTTTTCCTCTATAACATAGATTAATTCCTTTTGTTTGTTTGTTTTTTTTTTTTTCTGTCTTCTTTCTTTTTCTGTAATGAGGCTTAATTCCTCTGTATCTGTTCTTGATCTTCTTTCTTTACTAAAGAAAGAAAAGAAGGAAATATGAATCTCTTAATGTGGTTTAATTTTTCTGTTTCTTGGTAAGAAAGAAAGGATCCAGTTTGAAACAACTTGTTTCATATCATTTTTAAAAATAGTTAGGTCTAATTTTACATTTTGATGATTTTTTTTTTTTAATGGTATGTAGTTGATCTTTTTAATTGTATGTGATCTCCTCTCGGCCGCAAACCACCAGCGCTTCCTTTCTAAGGAGTAGTGTACCCTAGCCTCTTCTTCTTGCTTTAATAGCATTTTTTTTATTTTAACAGTTAATGGAGAAAAAACTTGTAGTAGCTAGGGTGAGGTGAGGATCTTGGTGATGGTGGTGGTCATGCCGATCGAGATATAGGGTTTTATTCATGAAAGGAGGAAGATGTTTACCAATTGGTCCTCTAATAATAGGTTGGAGAGGTGAGGTGAGAGTTATGTGGGGCTATATTGTTTTATTTTTTATTTTTGTTTTTTACTTTCAATCAAATTTTTATTGGATTAAAAAGAAGATTACGAGGAATGTTAACAGAGTTGATGGTGGTAAACACATCCTAATAATGGATTACAAATTATTGGTTTTTTAAAAGAGTTAGATTTTATTTGTCATGCAAAATAAATTTAGATATTCTTTAATTATTTTGAACTTTATTTGACATTTAACCTTTGAACTTTATTTGACATTTAACCTATGTTCAATAACAAAGCGTATTATAGAATTAATGGGTGGAAGAAAATGTTGGTAGGTCCATTTCTATACATACATTAAAAGAGAGATCAAAAGAGCAGAAAAATATTGTTATAGCTAGCTAGTACCAAAAAAAAGAAATATTAATATTTATAATTAATTAAAAATGATTAAGTGAAAATGAAAAAACAACGAAACTGGGAGAAATCTCAGCGTCTCACCTGTTATTGTGAAGTTTGAACGTTAAAAGCGTAGGGAAGAAAAATGTTACTCTCATCTCATGGATGCAGAAGATGTACCCCGTACACTTGTTTAGTCTCCTAGCCCTGCATGTCTGAATTAAGGGACTGAGTCTCAGCAACTGTGTAGTAAATAAAAGCTTAATTTCATTTTTCTTTTTCTTTGTTTTTTCTTCTGTTTCTTACACTTTATGAACAAGATCATGAAATGATTTTGATATATGAATGAAAGCATTGATAGATATATATGATGATTATATGTGTATATGATAAAAGATTTTCGAACCATATCCCATCCACAGATTTGGTTCATACCGTGGGACCCATATATATGATGTCCAACTACAATTTTCCTATCCAAAAAACCTAGCTAGCTAAAATTGTGATATTTTCATGCGATTCTGTGAATCAAACAAGGAATGGTGAAACTAAACCAAGATTACAAGAGAAGGAGCTAACCTGAAGATTTTCTTCATATATTGGGCCAACATGTATCTCAGGTCTCAATCGAACGATCCCACACAGGCAACAGCAACAACATTGCAATGACTATATATGGTTGAAGAAACAGAATGGGGGGAACGTTCATCAACTTAAAATACTAATTTTGTCCCACTATGAGCCAAAGGAGAAAGCCAAAGGTCCAAAGAAAGCGACTGTTCAGGAGAGAACTGCACTGTTTTAAGCGGCAAAGCCGGTAAAAGTAATGTAATCTGAGGCGGTAAACAGCAGTTCTCTGTTTGAAAAAGGGAGAAAAAGAGAGAGAAAGAGAGATAGAGGTGGAAAGAAAGAAAGAAAGAAAGAAAGAAACAACCACAGATACATTCTGTTATTATAACTTTGAGGATGTGAATGATGGCTTTTGTATGGAGACTGGGAGTAAAAAAATGTAATCACTGACAAAGGAGGAGAGAGAAGGCCCAATAGCCACAACTGGAGACTGGATTTGGTTGTTTTTGAGTGAGTTGCGTGATCTTATGGCAGTGTTAGGTGTTGTGTAGACTGAACCACCATGGCCTACTGTTTCAGTGCTGCACTCTTTGTTGCTTGCTGCTCAAATTGGGAATATCAATCTATAGTGCTAAGAAAAAGTGAGAAGGATATAAGAGTGTTTTTTTTCTTTTTTTTTCTTTTTATGTATTTATAAACTAAGGCTCTCTTGATATCAGTCTGTTTTACTGCAATTTCTACAGAATTGGTTCATGCGCTTTCGGCCAGGAGAAATTATTGCTAAAACTCAGAGTTGCTGCTGCTGCTGCCGTTGCATTGATCGAGATTTCTTGTCCCTGTTCAGATCTATACGAATCTTTAACTTGTACCAATGATTTTGTACACGTATATGTATACTTCTTCATTTGAGACCTACTTGCTATTTACTTGTAATTTAGAAAGTCAAGAAACCCTTTTTAGTAAAACTTTAATAAGATATTTTTTAGAATCTCTCACTTCCACCTCATGATAAATTATATAATAAAATATAATATTTATAGTTCTCAAATTCTTCTATTACATCTCGAGTTTTAAACTTAAAATCTGTAAGTTAAGTTAAAGTGTACGTTCTTATAAATTGAGACTCTTTTGGGTGCAAAAAATTTCAAGCGTGCATTGTTGTTGGTGAGAATGCCGCCCTGCCTGGCCAAAATTGGGGACAAGGGAATCTGGAGTTTGGACGTCCAAGTTTTCAGGCTTGAGGGTTTTAGGGATTCGAGCTAATGCAGCAAAAGCCAAAATGGTTGTTAATTTGAAACAGAGGAAACACTATTTAACGGTAAAGGTTTAGATCTTGATCCTGTTCAATGGTGCTAAGAACAGTATAACGCAGCCCTTCCCAGCCATACACAGGAAACCATCCGACTTGACATTTTGTCCGAAAGAAGAGATCTAAAAAGTAGGAAAGGCGACCTACATGTACTCCCACATCAGCTCTGTGTTGATGGTGTTTTTTGTACATTACACAGAAACATTGACCTGAGAAAATCTGGGTTGATGAGGCAAAGAAGATCGACCATGGTAAAAGATACAAATAACCATTCTCTGTAAAAATTATTAACAGAGTGCATTCCTTTGCGGGACAGCGGAATGAGTAGTTAGAGGAATTTGGGCCTAATGACCAATATGACCCATATGTAAACCCTGCTCCCCCTTTTCGGTACACCTCAGGAAACGAGAAGGAGGGGGGGGCCTCGACCTCAGATCTCAGTGCTTACCTTCCAAAAAGATAGCATTGTCCACATATATTCCAGACATGGCAGCCATGCATTTCATTTAGTTTTACAAAATCTCGTGTGATCACAAGAGGGATAGGGAAGGAAGAAACCAAGCAGTAGTTACAGACATTTATGATATGCTTCACATAAATGGAACCGTAATACATCCTCCTTAGACACCCTAAATCTTTCTTGCTGCAACAGAAGCACCCTTAGATGCAGTACTTTGTGACCATGATGATGGCTTGAACCCACCTGCCAGCAAGTTGGATGCTGCAGCTGCACGGATTTTCCTTCTCTTGGATTCTAGCTCCAATCGTTTCTTATTTGACATGGAAGACCCAGTCGCATCAGAAAAAATTGAAGCAGATTTAATCATGGCTCGCTTGTCTTTCCTGTTTCTGTCAAATTTGGAAGAGAACTTAACATGTGATGCAGCAGCAGCATCTTCTTCAGTTGCAGGAAGGAGTCGAATGCCAAGGCCCATCTTTCTGCAACCAGCTTCCTCTTCAGCAACCCTCTTCTTTTGACCCTGAAAACACAAAATAAGTGAGTAAAACTTGGACAAAAGTCTGGATAAATTTGAATAGAAAACTAATTAGGGATAAGTAACATACTCTAAGCTTGGCACGAAGTGCCTTGTTGAGGGCATAGTCATCTGAATGTCTGGCATCAGACACTCGCTGGAGGCGCACTAGTACTGGTTCAGCCTCTTTCTTCTTCTGCAAATCCTCTTCCTGGTGTTCAAGACGGTAAAATGGATCTGCGAGTTTACCTCTTTCTGTGTAACAACAAACTCAATAGTTAAAATCCACTAAAAATTTGAACAACACTCACGTGAAAAATGTGCAAGCCCTTGCAAATGAGATCTAAGAACATGAACTAGATGTAAATGAGCTTCTTATAGAACACAGGAGCCAAAAGTTAGAAGGTTGTTTACACTTTGTCAAAACCAGGAATAATGTCACACATTGGATTGTAGATATATAATTTACATGCATGTTGCAGAGTGTGCCCCGCAAAAACATGATTAAGTAGGAGAGTATGGATACCAACCTTCATCTGCAGGGAGTTCCAATGTCTCTGCATCCTCCACATCAAACTCTTCAACTTTCTTCTGAGCACCACTAATAATCACATACTCACAATTCTTTGGATCTGTCTGAATAACAATCTCTTGTTTGCAGCATGGAGATTTCATGGTAAAGCTCCATATCTAATAGAAGCAAAAACTGTTAGTATAAGAACAGTAAATAAGGAACAGTTAATGCTAATTCACAGATTAACTCTCCCACCAACAAAGCCAATGCACGAATTACTTGTGCAATACCTTTGTAGAATAATAATTTCCCACTTGCTTTTTTTCAGCATTAAAGCGAACACCCTTTGCAATCATAGAATTGCATCCACCACACCATATATGGAAAGGCATTTCGAACCTGAAACAGAATAATAATTCAAACTATATTACACCAATTTGCAAGCCAGAGAGATCTTCTAAAACATCAATAAATTATCAAGAATCTACTTGAAAAGAAACTATATACAAAATTAACTCTTGCATTGTCAGTACTTGCTGCCAGTTTATCTCTCAAATATTTATAGTAATTTAAAAATCTCTGCTGTTCAATTGTTGGGCATTTCCAAGCATCACCCTTCAACAGAACTCACATATTATTATATTATAAGACAAAAGGAACCTTACATTTGAAAAATTAATCACTTTCTTCCACAAAATCTAATTAATTTTTGTTGAGAAAACAAGAAACTATAGTTCCTTTAAAAGGTTTCATTCTAAAATTGACAGGACAAAACAAGAAAAGGCATGCAAGATCCTTGTTGCCAACCCTATAATCAGAACATTATAACAATGTTGTATGCACATACATGGCCTTTGCTAGGATGGATTCTCAAATGACTACTTGAAGACAAGTCCCCATAAATTACAAATATCGAAATACATAAAAATAAAACTTTTAATACCCAAAAACACTAAGCATGAGTTGTGATTCATTACCTTATAATCAAAATGCCTTGATCTATTTTCCTTGCTCTCTCTCTCAGAGCATGTTGCCCATGAAACTTGTTCAAAGAGCCCTGCAACAGCAACAATGTTAGAACCCACAATATTCATTGGGCATAGCATATCAAATCACAACTAAAAATGACTATCAATTAAAAAGAATATAGAGCATGCATACCTGACTCGGGTCCCATTCTGGAGGGTAGTAAAAATTGTCCGCTCTAGCTGCTGCAAGCGAAGACTGCACAAATACAAACAAGATTGTTTATCTGTTTTCCATGAAATAGACGAAGAAAAATTGGAAAAAAAAAAGAAGAAAAAAAAAAAAGAGCAAGTTTGGAATTGGAGGAAAGCCGAATGATGGACACACTGAAAAACAGGAATTAACGACTGCAACTGCTGATTGAAAATTCAAATATTAAGCACATGAAACGGAATCACTGTCAAGGAATTGTAGGATCTAAAAGAATGCGAAACCCTAATTCGAGGAAACGAGAACAATCCCTTTCCATTAACCTCTAGATTTTGGAAAAACAAGAAACCGAAATTGCTTACCATTTTCTCTTCCTCTTAATTCGCCTTCTTCTTCCTCGGAATAATCCTTGATGCAGTCGGTGAGATCGAATCGAATTTGGCGAGAAGTTTGAGCGTCTGTAATGGTGTTTCTTTCATTTATTTTCTGAATTTTTAACTGTAAAATAATGTCGGTTGCTCGGGTCGACTCCGGAACCCAAACTATCTGGGCCAGAGTCGACCTAACTCACAAGAAATGAAATTTGTGGCCCACTAGGATCTTAATTACCTTTTTTCTTCTTTCGAATTTTATTTTGTTTTTAATAATTTGTTTAAAACAATGAGACCATCATCAATAACTTAAATAATTTAGTGATTATCTCCTTAAATAAGAGGTTTTGAGTTTAAATCGCATGACATGCAAGTGAGATGAGATAAAAAATAAAAGATAACTACCTGTCATTATACAATCAAGATAAAAAAAAAAAAGAATGACAACATTGATTATACTGTAGATTACATCAAATCATAAAATAAAATAAATTATATTAAATTATAAAATAAAAATCATTAAATGAGAAGGAGGATTGTCATTATCAAAAACTCAACTTTTATCCAATAATTAGTGTTATGTAGTTTAATATAATATAAATTACACAATATTTTTTTAAAAAAAAATTACATA